AGAATAATTTAATCGTTTATTTTAGAATTTACCTAGAGAATAAAAAATAGGAGATTTACTTAATTTATCAAAAATATGAATTTCTGCAACTTAGGATTTCTTAAATAAACATTATAATTATTTTATAAAACATATTTGTCGAAAATAAAACGTTACGATAACAAATTAAATTTTACGTCAAGCTAGTCGGTAATGCAGATAATATTTGACATGAAATTGGTTAAACGATGCAATAAAAGTCTCTGAATTAACTGATCATTAATTTTTTATTTGTTATAAAAAACGGTATCTTTTTAAAGCTAATAATACATTTATTCCACATATGAATTTAAATAAAAGTGCCAAAATCTGACATTTGACATTTCTTAATTATAATAAGAAAAGAATTTTATATACACTGATGTAATCAACTTTTCTACATAATACAATACCACATTATATATAGTGCGATCATCATAACATGAATTTTATCGAGACCTAGAACACGATATGGCATTTAATAATTCAAACAGTTAAAGCTTATACCTATTTTTGTGTGCTGTAGATCTAAGTTTCAGACGTTTTAACTAAATACGTGGTAGCCATCTTCAGTAAATCGCTCACCTCGCAATATCATGGCTTTTTAGTTAGGTTTCTTCTCGTGACGTTGACTGCAAAATTGAAAATTGTCAAATGTCATTTTTGTCTTGACTATTATTGAGTCGGTGTGTGTTTTCGACGTTTGTGTTTTTTCAAGAATTTAGAAGAATATATTTGAAACGATTAGAATTTGAGATCTTTGAGAATGGAAGAACATTTTAACGGAGCTGTATGACTGGCAATAGAAACAAATGTAATTGAATAAAAAAAAATTTTTTTTTGCCTAAAAATCAGCTACTGCAATATTGGAAAAAAATAGGCAAATTTTGATTATGACATATGTCATAATTGTTTCTTTATCTCGATAAAATCATCTGTTTTGCTGAATACACTATAAATATTATCTGGAATTGGTATATGCCCATGATATGAAAATAAATTACTGATCAAAGTCTTTAATAATGGAAGGGCGGGATGGCACTAATTTTTTAAAATTGTTTGAAATTTACACTTTTTTTACTAAAAGTACATATTGGGGGAGAAACAAATTCTATATCATTTATTTATAAATTTTCGTTTAAAAATCTTTTATTTACACATGTTTTTCTTCATTTTTAACAATAATTATATAATATAAAATACATACCTAATAAGGAGATCATAGTGACTACCTGGTAACAATTGAATAAATAATATATCAAATATTCATATATTTGAGATACATTAATTAAAAATAATTTTCCCATGCTCTTTTTTTATCGCGGTGATAAAAAATTATTAATAGTTCCAATTTTGTTTTAAATTTTCGTTACCAGCGTAATAAATACTGATAATTATATCATAATTTCATATTTTTCTAGAAAATTAATTAAAATTGGTATCTACATGCAAAGAGTATCTTTTTAAGTTCGCTTTTTAATTAATTTAAAAATTCAAAAAACGCTCCTATTTAAGAATTCAAAAATATTAAATGCTTACGTTAAATTTCCTTTTAATAATATTTTATACATTATAAAAATTTAATTAAATTAAAAAACCCTGAGCGGAAAAATATTCATAATATAATATGATTTTTTACTAAAAATAAATAATTAGATGGTTTTTATTTTTAAAAATTAACTACCACTTATCTTCTATAATTATAAAAAAAATCACAAATATTTATAATGGTCCCAGTTTTCTTGTACTTTTGAAAATAGTGCGAATCAAAAGGTCAATTTTGTTATTAAAAATCAAAAAATCAAAAAATCGAAAAATCGAAAAATCGAAAAATCGAAAAATCGAAAAATCGAAAAATCGAAAAATCGAAAAATCGAAAAATCGAAAAATCGAAAAATCGAAAAATCGAAAAATCGAAAAATCGAAAAATCGAAAATTCGAAAAATCAAAAAATTAAATTTATTTTTATTAATTCGCACTGTAAAGCTAAGTTAGGTCTATTTTTGATCGAAAAAATTTGCTATAATTTATATCTTTTTGGTACATCCTGTATAGTTTATTATACCAATTTGTATACTATATTATAACCTAAAAACAACAACTTAAAAATATAGTTATTGCAGTAGATACCAATAGTTACTAACGTATTAATTTCATAAATCAATTGTTTCCGAATCAAAACAATATAGAATTTGTTTCTCCAACATAGAGTTGTTTGCCTACTTGTCTTTGGCGCATAATTTCTAGATTAGAAATAACAACAAATATATATGGTCATTTGGAAGTGTTATCAGAAAGATTGATTTATATTCAAGGTGTTTATTCAAAATATTTATAGCTATGTCAGAAAATATTGTTTTCACAATAATACTAAATTCGCAATAAAATTGTATCGAGTACCAACAACAATTAATTGTTTTTTTTTACTACTAACATGAGAAAGCACCATTATTTACTCCATTCCTCTAATGAGAAGTAATATTTCTCTCCCTAGGTAAATAATGATAATAAAAAAAAACCTAGGTAAATAATGAAACTAAATTTCATTAGTTTCATTTTGTTAATTTGACAACTAAACTCCCAGACTACTTGATATTTTGAAATATTTGAAACATAAGTAGGAAATAACTAAAGCTGGGTTTATCAAATCTAATCAAATCAAATATGATAATATATATCAGTGTAAACAGTAAAAATATATATTAACTAGGAAATTCAACACCGGCTTTAAAAATTATTAATTAATAACAATAAATCCATGTCATTAAAATATCAAAAATGCAATGGGATATTTCCTAGAATCATACCAAAATTTGACACATGCCAAATTTTTACATAAATAAAGCCAGTCTGATTAGAAACACGCTCCAGTCTGCTTGATATTTCGAAATATTTAACAAATTGTTAGGAAATTACTTATGTCAAAATTAAAATTGCTAATACATTAATGTTAGTAGTAAAAAAAATTCTATATATACCTCGGCTGAGAAAGCTATTATTTACCTCGCACATTATATCCCTCGGCGCTACGCGCCTCAGGATATAAAAGTGCTCGGTAAATAATAGCTCACTTCTCACCCTAGGTATATAATGTACTATTTTTATCTACAACAATAATACATAATTTAGCGACTAAATAAGATTAATTTTTGTTGAAAAGACAGAATAGAGCAGTAGACAATAAAGAAGAAAATAGCATAACCTATCACTGGTGCTTTTTTGGCAGGAGAGCCTATACAGTATGGTGAGAGTGTCGACGTTAAAGTCCTCCCTATTCTTTTATTTGATTTACGCAAATTTAGAGTTTATAAACAGTTTTTGTTTCGAATATAATAAAAAATTACATATAAAGATCTTTTTTTTTGTTTTTTTAAGTTAATATTTTCAAAACAATTACAATAAGTTAGGTTATGTTTCAAAATTTTCATTCAAATAACTTTTTCAAATACTTTTTTAAAATAACCTTTTGAAAATAACCATTTCAAATAACATTTACAACTAACTTTTTCAAATAACTTTTTCAAATAACTTTTTCAAATAACTTTTTCAAATAACTTTTTCAAATAACTTTTTCAAATAACTTTTTCAAATAACTTTTCCAAATAACTTTTTCAAATAAATTTTTCAAATAACTTTTTCAAATAACTTTTTCAAATAACTTTTTCAAATAACTTTTTCAAATAACTTTTTCAAATAACCTTTTCAAATAACTTTTTCAAATAACTTTTTCAAATAACTTTTTCTTATAACTTTTTCAAATAACTTTTTCAAATAACTTTTTCAAATAACTTTTTCAAATAACTTTTTCAAATAACTTTTTCAAATAACTTTTTCAAATAACTTTTTCAAATAACTTTTTCAAATAACTTTTTCAAATAACTTTTTCAAATAACTTTTTCAAATAACTTTTTCAAATAATTTTTTCAAATAACTTTTTCAAATAACTTTTTCAAATAACTTTTTCAAATAACTGAACCATATAAACTCAAAACACAAATGAAACGACAAAAAAATCACAAGGATATAGGTCGGGTGACCTTGGTGGCCACGTAACTGGTCAATTCGACCGATGGACCTATTCGGATAATGTCTAAAACTCTCAATTTTTCCCGACCAATGAACCAATGACAGGTCCGGATTTGAATTTTTTAATTCTGTAACTGTAACAATTTAAAAAAAGTATCTGTGGTACGAAACTCATTGTAAATCTATTTTGGTGTGAAAAATTTGTCGTACTAAATCCTTTTGTCCTAATTGTTTTTAGGCCAAAGGATCTGGGCAGTTGTTTTGAAAATAAATAATAAATAATAAATATTTTGAATATAAAAAACCCAATAAAATAAAAAATTGTGATTTAATATTGCTACAAATCCAAAAATTATTATCTATTAAAAATATTCAAAAATTCTCAATACATTTTTTTTCTTTTCTCTCCATGCAACAAACTTTTAGTTTTCATAAAATTCATATATGGTATGATCTTTTGCATTTATTTTTTAAAATTTTATAGTCCCTATACATATACAGTATTGGCTATCAAACAATTTCCAATACGCTTTGCGTAAGTGCATGTAAAAAATGCAGAGAGTTAGCAATAGGACGAGTAGGAAACAAAAATATCAGCATTGCCAGTTTATATGACAATGCCAACTATACAACGCGATTGGGTCGTATAAACCGAAAACGCTGATATTATTCGTTTCCTACTTGACCTAATGCTAACTCTTTGTAGTTTTCACACGCAAAAGCGTTTTATAAATCGTTCAGTGTCCGACACTGTATATTTTTTTGCTGTAAATTTCCAATGTCAAGACATGATGAAAAAACACCCTGAATATACGCAGAAGTTCAAAACCTTTTTTTGTTACTTTTATTTTTTCAAATTGACACCATATTGGATTGGATAACTAATCTAGTTACTACAGTCAAATGACAGGTAGGAAACAAGCATAGAATAACACCTAATATTCACAGCACAAAAATTATAAACACCCACATCTTTCTACTACCATACCAGGGAGCGACCCATATACGACGTTAAGATGGTTGTCGAAATATAACATGGAAATGCTGCCCAACTTCCTGGGCGTACAACAAGGGGGTTGGCTAGCAGGTTTAGCGACCTGCTTTAGGTGCGTGTGCGGAAACCTTTGAAGAGTTACGTAAGGACACTCTCCGGCGCACATGTAAGCGTCATAGCGTTTAGGAGCTATTATGAAGTCCAAACCGATGGCTTCGAAGTCTACGATTAAGGGGTAGCGGCAGCAAATCGTTTCGTTAGATTCTTCGTCGCAGTCTCTACCTATGTTACGGCGAGTTCTGCGTTTGGCCTCTATGGTCGAAATTTGTACGAAAGGCACCTGAAACAATATAGAAAAATGTCAGATTATGGGAAAATATATCAACAGGAAAAATTACGCAAAACATAAATAGACAGTAAATCATGAAGGGTATTTTTTAACATCTTAAATGTGGATATCTTCAGTAAATTAGATAAAATGCAAAAACATTCTTACATAAAATACAGGTATTAATTTTAAACGGCATCCCCAATCCTTATTGTAACTTTTGTTTGTTTAATCAATTTGTGTGTTTAGTTTTTTTCACTAAAACATTTATTTATATTATAACTCATCATATTTGTAAATAAAACATTAATTTATATTTCTAATTTACATTATTAACATTTATTTGAACAGAACGATATCTTAACTCGAACTAAAAAATTTCAACGGTCGTATGGCAGAAAACTGTAACCGGGCTCTGGAAACTGATGAATAATTTGCTATGAATATGTGAAAGTACTGCACTATTGTCTGATTTTTGTTTTGGGCAAAACAGTTGTCCGAAAATGAATAGAGAGTTGTTACCGAGACAAAATTTGTCAAATAATGATGTAAAAAGCTTACCACCCCGTTGCAACCCTTTTTAGCAGTGAGTTCATCATACATATAAAAAGTTGCCTCTTTCTTCTTGGTAGAATGTATACAAAAGGTATATTCCCATAACTGCCTTTTATAAAACGCATCGCCTAAAGAAATATGCGGCAGTGGCAAGTTTTGTTGATAATCAAAATATAATACATCAACTGATTCATCTTCGCGGGCAAGATTTGTATATTCCCGTAATTTCGCATAAAATACTTTGGCTTTTTGTAAGAGTATAAGCTTTTCGGTTTCCAAGTGAGTTTTAGTTTCTGCATTTTCTTCTGCGGCAGTTGCGTTGTTTAGGCGATCACATTTTTGGCAGGTGTCTGACCTTGGATGTCCAAAACTACGATTATGATTAACATTAAATTGCCGGTTATAAAAATCATATGTCACTATTGGTTTGATGTCCTTTAAATTTTTCCCTTCGTCTAGGAGAGCTTACTTTTCCGGCTCTTATTTTTCAAGGTACAGGCGATACATTTCTGCAATGTTCAACTCATCGGATAAGAAATATCTTTTTTGATTATCTTCTCTATTGTAATGGGATATTCTCGTGGGAAAACTTTGTATATGTTCCTCTATTTGTGCTATTATTTCTTCACTAATTTTGTTCGGCCTACTGGAATGCTGCCCATGCTTATCGTAAGGTGACATAATACTACCCTGCGTCAAATTTTTGGCAATCTGAGATACTCTATGTTTTGATACTCCGTGCAAAAAAACAGAATGCCTTTCTGCACACTATGGATTCCTGGCTTACTACACGCACTTACAAAAGAAAAACATTTTAGGGCCAACTATTATATTTTGCCATAAAAGTTTTACCTAATACTGATAGCTGCTGTTTTTTTCTCTCCCCTCTCCTGTAGTTGGATGTTTTCTCTGCACATTTGCCACACTGATTAATCCTCCTAGATAAATGTCTTGTTTAGTTTTATCTCCCGTACTATAAAACTGCTGAAGTATATTATTCTTTTGGATATCATCTATTTTTGTAATAAAACATCTTTCTCTACAGCTGCAATTTGGTCCTGTAATTTTCTTTGGAATTAGTTTATTTGATCAATTAATATATTCTTCACCTCTAGCAACATTTTGTTTTCATTTGCTTTCAATTCTTACCCGTTTCTTTCATTTTTCCTAAACGGCTTAAACGTTTAAAGTTCCTGTATTAATACGCACAGACTTTTCTTGTTGCTCATTACTTGCACGGATATCCTTTTTAGCAATAACACAATGCTTTAGTCGCCGTCGACTAGGACCTGGAACATCACGCTCAGAGGATTCAGATGATAACACGTAGTCAGTCCCAGAATCTGCATATGGGTCTTCCTCACTAATCTCACTACTAGTGCGGTCGTACACCAAGGAAACATCAAACATGCAACGTTGCATGTTTGTTGTTTGCTTGGTATATGATCGCACTTTGTCGCATGTTTGGATGGTAAAGATATTCTCTGTTGTTCATTAAAATGGCTGACAATCCAACTTTTAACATTAATTTTGTAAAAATTATCGAAAAGCATCCTTGCATTTGAAATTACAGATTAAACGATATTTTGTATCCAATTTTTCTATTCTTGATCCTATAAGTTTCAGCAATACTTTAAAACTTTGCTGATTCACTCTATAAAATTCTTTAAAATTTTTCTGATTGGGAGCCAGTTGTTCCTGTGCAACAGTTACTAAGCTGTGCTTTAGGTTATGAACAAATAATGCATGAATCCAGTATTGACGGATTCTTTTACGTTTACATCGCAAAGATTGCCAAGCTGCAACCACATCCTCCTTGCTTGATGACATATTGAATACTGCAAGTGCTTAAATTTTTCCATCTGTGTTTAGCAATATTCTTGTCGCACGTTGCATGTTGCATGTTTGATGTTTGCTTTGTGTACGACCGCACTTAGAGCTACTATTCATAATGAAACGATCTTATTCGTACTTAGGCACTACTGCAAGCATTAATGAACGATTACTCCAACGAAAAACAAATAATGGAATGCTGTTTCACTTGCCGTCGTGGTCGCATGTGGTCTGTTTTTCAAATGTTGCCAATGTTGTCATTCATTGGTGGCAACAAACAGTCAACTCCGTGGCCAATGTATATACGTTAATATTTGTTGGAGACGGCTGATTCTTGCATCAAAAGATGCGCAAATATTTGTTCTATAAGATGCAAAAAATAACTAAATTTGGGTAAAAAATGGAGTTGACCGATTTTTGCACCGAACCTTTCAATTATTTTAATTGACCGATTTTTATACCCTCCAATAAATAAATTTATTACCTTGTCCACGAAATTACTCCCAAAGCACCATTTTAAAACCACCACACATTTTGATAGAGTAGCAAATTGTTTGTATACTTAAAATGCAACATTTTGTAACGAAAAGTGAACTGAAGAAAGCAAAACGACTAGAAGGGGTTTATATAACGGTAAAAATAATAAGTTAATGAATGGCCATTCTTGCTGACGACAGGACCCAACTTGGTATCAGTAAGCCCATCATCCTTACACCTTTTTTAGTTAATAAATATTATTTGTTATTTATTATTTTTACCTGTTTCTCTTTAGTTCTTATTCTTATACTTGGTCTTGTTGAAAATAACTTAAATAGTTATTGGTATTTTATCTTCACTAGCTAAATAAGTTAAATCTACCTCCCTTGAGAACTAGATGGACAATTTTTTTGAATGGCGCAAATTTTTGTAGGTTATCGTTTTATTTACAAAAATAGTTAAATAAAAAAAAAGTAGGTCGCATGTGATAAAATTGGAAACGCTATGAACGATTGCAATATATAATGATAATTTTAGAAATATCTTTTCAAATTCCAAACTAATCTATTGCGTTTGATTTTTGACTTTGCTATTTAATAAACATTCATGTACACATTGTTATAAGATAAAAGTAAGATAAATAATTATTTCCGTATATGAGGAAAGACTAAAAGGTTCATAGAACCCCTTTTAGCTGATATTATAGTTTACGATATCTCGTAGTTTCATTGACACCAAAAAGCTGACAGAACCTAGTGAAATTTTAAAAATAATTTTCTGCAGATCTACGTAAATAGCATTAGTGGCCAATTTGGACACAGGAAAGTTTTCATTAACTAATGATCTCTATTCGAAAGCTGTCGGAAGGATTGCCTAAATCTAGTGTTCCCTGTTAGTTAATGTGCAGCTCCCTATATCTCCTTCTTGTCAGGTCTTCAATATGTTGTTCTTTTATTCGTCTTTTTCAGGAAAGCAACTTCATAAATAAGACTATTTTTCATTACTAATTTACAAGGCATTTATACACCCCTAATATCTTAGTAGATAAATAATACAAATATAAAATCAACAAGTTCACTGGTTCCCCAAGACCCGCATTCAAAGTGTAGATAATTATTATCATTTAGTAAAGTTTTTATATATAAAACACCATAGTACAATTCTTAAATAACAAAAAGGAAAATGTGTGAGTGTTTTTTTTTTAATCAAAATTAAACCAACAGTTTTACAATTACTATAACTTCTGGCCAGTTGAGGTTTTAATTCTAAACAAAAATTCATTTAGAATGAGATTTACTGGTCTACAACTTTTGTTATAAGAGTTTGTCTGAAAAGCGACGGTTGCGGTTCTACACGGTAATTTTTTTCAAAGAACAAAAAAAAAAACGTTTTTGGTAGCGGATAGCTCAAAAACTATCAGTAATACTGAATAAAAAATATATTGAAAATAATCTAATAAGATTTTAATTGAGAAAGAGTACTTTTTTCCATAAAACCCCTTCAAACCTTAACCTTATAGCTAGGGTCAAGGACTTTTAACATTTGTATTCCCTGGGCATTTCAAACACGTCCCTAAAGAAAGATTATCTCCTCTTCCATGTTCTCAATAACCTCTTCATAGACTGGACTAGAGATCATTTTACCGCAAAAACATTATCGAGTAATGACATTTTAAAATAAAAAACAGTTTATTGTTGGTATAAACAATTTTAAGTTCGGTACCATTAATCTAATCAAAAACTGCAGAAAATAATGGTACTAATTAAAAAAGATACCATGATATCTTTCGGAAACAAATATCTCTAATTTTCCAGGAGCGTTTTATTGCTTATTTTGTTTATTTCGTTTTTCTATTTTGGTATATTTTTCTTTTATACCCAATTTTACCAATTTGTGTTATTGTTTCTAGTAGGTGGACAAAATCTGAGCATTTACCATAGGGGTGGTAAAAGCCTGCCAAATGGCCACTTCTAAAAATTAGAAAAAACTAATTGTGAGATCGAGGATGTTTCAAACTAACAACAAAATTGAGCTAAAATTGAGAAAATGCTGTCACAGTGAAGTTTCACACAAATAAGACATTTTTAGAAGAGTTACAAAAAAGTTCTTTCTATTTTAATTCACACTAAACAGTGTTAATATTAACAATACTCAATTTTAATAAATAATAAACTTTTTTGTAAATTGTAAGCAAAAAAATTAACAGTAATGCTAGATAATATATCAATGTTAAATAGCTTGAAGATTATTTGTAACGGAGCAAAGTCTTTCACGGAATTAAGCAGAGTTAGTGTCATCTGTGTAACTTAAAATCTGTAGCGTATACCAGAAGAAAAACACCACACAATTTTGGTTTAAATTTGACTTCGAAGATGAGCTCTGACAAAAAGTAACTTTGCCAAGTTTTTCTTAAAAAGGAGCACGATCTTTGTTGTCCAGTCGTTTAAACATATCATTAAGTTTGTTCTTGTGGAACTGCCACTAATTTTACTGTAACGTGAGCCATTTCATTATTCAGTCATGCTCTAATCCTCCAAGTCCCTCTTTGTCTTAGTTGGCCTTGGAGGCTCAACTTGTCCGATTATCATACATAATTAAACCCCTTAAGACCAAACATATGTGACGATTATGGCGAAGGCGCTTTCAAGAACTTTCTAGGTAAAACGTGATAATGTTTTTAGTTTTGACGGAGATAATTCTGGAATCCACCAGACTTTTAAACGTTTATATAAATATTGGTGGAGGAACAATGCAGCGGTCAGTAGTATACAAACAGCTGTGAAGATAAGTAGTTAACAATTTAGAGACTCCTTATTTATATAAATTAGAGTAGTATTGTTTTAAAATAAATAAATGTTTAAATAAATTATTTACAAATTAACTGTTTTTTAAAATAATCAAACGTAACATTGTTGTCAGAAGTGGGATAGTTTAAATAAATAATGGACAAAAGTGGCTAAAAAACTGAGTGATTTCAAAGTGGCTGAATTGCGTCGATAATTAGAAGAACGTAAACTGGAGGCGACAGGACAGAAATCAGTGCTGGCAGAACGACTCAAAAAAGCACTAGAAAATGAAGGTTTGAATTCTGATGATTCATCCTCTGCTATAATTTCTTTAATTTCTTCCGATATGGAAAGTAAGATCTCTTCCTTAAAAACCGAAATGTCTTCTGATATGACCTCTATGAAAACTGATATTTCTTCTATTTCCTCATTAGAAACTAAAGTTTCTTTAGATATTTCCTCCTTAGAAAGTAAAGTTTCTTCAGACATTTCTTCCTTAGATAGTAAAGTTTCTTCTTTAGAAGAAAAGGTGACTTCTGATATATCTTCTTTAAAAACAGAAATTTCCTCCGACTTGGAAAGCAAAATGTCTTCTATGGAAAATAAATTTCCGTCCAATATTTCTTCCTTAGAAGAAAAAGTGTCTTCTGAACTTTCTTCTATGGAAAATAAGATATAATCAGTCGAGAATAAAATAATGTCTTCCGTTAAGGAGAAAATAAAACGGAAAAGAAGACAGAAGAACTGGAACATACAGAAACGGTCAAGTGCCATGAGGTAGAGCCAAAGTTGAAATTGGAAGGAGCTGTAAATTCTGCTCGTGTTAAAGCCCGAACATTCGACGGGAAGATGTCATGGACGAACTATCTTAAGCAGTTCGAAACAGCTGCCAGAGCAAACGAATGGTCTGAACGAGAGAAGGCAATAAACAACTAAAAAAGAGACAATATGCGGTATGGCCACGAATATGTGGAGCATTTATACCAGTCACAGTTAAAGAATCGCACACAGAAGCCAGACGAAACCCTTCAAGAATATGAAGTAGGTTGGTGCAATTTGCTTACCCATCAGCTTCGGAAAGCACGATGGAATGTTTGGTAGTCCAAACATTTGTTGATGGACTTCGTGACCACGAGATGCAGAAAACACTCTGCTTATCTCGCCACAAAACATTGGCCGATGTCTTGTCCGCTGTTTTAGAATATGAGGCAGCTACGCAAGCTTCTGGTAGATTCCAGAATGATTCTAAAACTAGAAATTATGAGGCTTCTAATTATCCTCGGGTTCAATCAAGAAAACCTAGGTTTATTTAACAAGTTTAATCGTAGAAAGCATGTAACAAAAATGAAAAGCAATAATAATTTTAACACAACCGAAAAAGTTTCTCGACAGACAGCTACTTGACAACGACAGCCCGCGCTCTTCTCGTAGAGACGCTCGGTGACTTGACGTGGCCTCGTCCGTAGAGACACTTGGTGACTTGTTGGTTATCCAGCCACCAGTCCGAAAGGGAACTGGTGTTTTAGTGCGTTATAAAATATTATTACATTTTACCTAGAAAGTTCTCGAAAGCGAATTCGCCATAGTCGTCACATATATTTTGTCTTAAGGGGTTTAATTATGCATGATAATCGGACAAGTTGAGCCTTAAAGGCCAAATAAGACAGAGTAGGACTTGGAGGTTTAGAGCATGACCGAATAATGAAATGGCTCCATCACAATACCATGTTGTTCTTTTGGTAAAACATCATATCTTTCGAAAAATCAGAAAGCGAATCGGTTAAGATTAATTCCATTATTTTACAGGTAATTGACACTAGATTCATTGTACTAAAGTTGGATACATTAAGTTTGTCGCTCTTTTAAAAAATAGGGTTAACTGAAGCAATTTTCCACATTGAAGAAAGTTTATGAGATATAAAGGATGATGGCAAGTCAAAAAATATACACATTGAGGAAATAACAATTTTATATGATTGGTTTGATCGGATTTTATTGGGATATTCATCAACAGTTTCAGATTAGAAATCAATATTACACAATGAGGTTGCTGTTAGGACATTATGACAATTTGGATGTATAATGTATATCTGTTACATAAAATTATATCAGATTTTTAAAGGATCATATGTATGTAAATAGTTTCTTAAGATTATCAGTAATATTAGCGGAATACTCTTCATATTCTTCTCTTGCGTTATCAACCGAAATGACCAAATTTTTGGAGAAACATCGATGGTTAACGTTAATGTCTTTTATTATTTTCTCTAAAGAATTTTCTTGCTGTTTAAATTATAGTTAAAAGTTATTTATTGATCCTAGGTTTAATTTGTTCTAAAAGTATATTTTGTTTTTTTTTGTTGGCATTTATTGTTCCGGATATCTTTGCATGAAATAGTATCGTAATATCGTCTACAGAAGCAATACTTCTAAAAAAGTAAAAATAATCTGCAAAGATTTCTCCTTATCTTATTAAAGTTTGTAATACTGTAGGTTAAGTACCTACAGTACCTAAGTTAAACCGAATACTAAAAACGATAACACCGTAATTAAATACCAAAAAGTTCAAATCGCAAAAGAGTTATTCCCTTATCCGAATGGCAAATACACTAAAAGAAAATAGAAATGAAAGAGGCTACAAATAACATAAAAGTAGGAAAAACACTTGGGTTAGTTAGAATACTTCCTAAAGCCATAAAGGAATTTGGAAAAGAAAACACAGGATGGCTGCTAGAAGTCCTTAGTCCTACATGAATGGAAAGTGGGTAAAGTAATTCTGTTGCCAGAAAGAAAACCCAATTTGTACCGACCACTTGGTCCATTAAACTCAATTAGCAAACTGTATGAGATATTGATTAAAGGTAGACTTGAGAAGGAAGTTAAAGCAAAAGGGGGGTTGGCTAAACATCAATATTGTTTCAGAAAAGGCTATTCAGAAATGCTGGAATGTATATACCGAAAACTGGAACATAATATTACAAAAACTCGAATTGCGGGGATGTTTCGGTATCTCATCAACGTCATAGCAGACTACCTTGATCAGAGAGTTACCCAACTGGCAAATGGAGAAAGAATGGAGGTCAAAGCAGGAGTGCCCCAGGAATCGGTTCTCGGACCAACCCTGTGGAATATCCTTTATGATGAAAGGCTACATTTGGAATTGCCTAGTTGAGCACGGACCATTGGATTTGCAGATGACCTGGCACTAATAGTTTTAGCTGACACTAAAACTTTACTGATGCAAAACACCAATAACCTCATGGTGCATCGAAAGGTGAATGAAAAACAATTTATTAACACTGGCACCAGAAAAAACCGAAGCTGTGATTTTGACAACAAAACGAAAAGGGGATGGGATGACGATCCAAATCGACAACGAAACTATTAGACCGAAAGGAAATATAAGGTACTTCGGAGTACACTTTGATACTAAAGGCAGTTTTCGAAAACACCTAAGTAGAGCAAGTGGAAACGCAGAAAATAGACTAGCCAAGCTGACAAGGCTATGTTAAATATTGGTGGACCTTATAGCAAAAAGAAAGCAGTACTCAGTGGAGTAGTACACTCTATACGGGGCACCAATATGGGCTCATACACTAAAAGAGGAACTGCAAGAAACTAGGAAAAATACAAAGGAAAACTTTAATTAGAGAAGCATCAGCTTACAAGACAGTATCAACCATGGCCCTACAGGTTATAACGGGAATACCACCAATCGAGCTTATAGCAGAAGAGAAAAAATGTATCTGATCAGGGAAAGAAATAAAAGACAAACAAATTAAACCTAAAAAGCATAACTATAAGTAAGTTGCAAATAAAATTGAACGAAAATATGCAAAAGGACAATAGACAAAAAGATTAAGCCCGAATATCAAAAAATGGTTGGACTGTAGACATAAACGTATCGACTTCTACCTCACGCAAGTGCTGACCGAACACGGAAACTACAAGTAGTACCTAAAGAGAATGGAACGGGAAAATTATGAGAACTACAACTACTGTAATATAGTTGATACAGCTCAGCACACAATCTTTGAATGCGAGAAATGCGGAAAAATAAGAAAATAAGCCGCAGATAGGAAAAAGGGACATAACGGCAGACACCATTATAGTCATTATAATGGAAAATAAAGAAAACTGGGCGACTTTGCACAATATGATAAGAACCATCATGAAAAACAAAGAAAGAGAACAGAGATGTAAACAAGAAAGGGGACTCGTTGTCTCCATAAAGCAGATGTCTAACGACGGTTCCGTGGTTGACAATTAGGAGACCGTAAGGGTAATTTTTAGTGAGTATATGCTGGAGAATCTCACACTATTATAGTCTGGTGTTTTTAAAAGATTTTCTACCCGCAAAAAAAACACATTGAAGAGTTAAAAGTTGGTCATTATTTGTCAATAGAAGGTTTAGAATTGGAGGATATTGATTTAAACGAAAACGGGTAGATTTACTTTAAAACTCAACTTACCTTTTTCCCCTCATCTACGTGGACATCCGTCACTGCCACTTTCTTTCCATTGACCGTAGCATTCACTACAAATCCATGGTTATCCTTCGGACTCTTAAACCATTCAGAAACCGTCTCCGAAAGGTCTATTTGCACCCACTCGCCTTTCCCCGTGGGCTGTAGGATCTTTTTGGCGTACACCAGATCGAACGATGCTGGTTCAGTGTGGTCAGCTATTTTTTTGACTTTAAATATTTCCAGGATGACGTCATGCCGAGGCCTCCTGTCAGTCCCTTTGATAAATATGAATAATGTGGCATTGCTCACTTGATATTTAGTAATACTGTCTGTGAATGAAAAGTGGAGGATATCACGGCCTTTGTGTCTCAGTCTTGGATCTGAAACAAAGAGAATTTTGTTAATTTTCCTCTATTATAACTATATGCATAGAGTATTTAATATTTAATACATATTTTGCAGATCATGACAATTCTAGTAGAATATTATTAATTTCTTGTATTTCAGACATCTTGCAATATTATGTTAGGCAAATTTAATAATTTCTGAAACTTAACTTCTGGTATTAAAATACAACTCGTTACATTTGGGTCGGGTAAATAGCAAAATCCTTGTTCTAATATTCGGCAATCGATTACGGAAGTCTACGTACGTTAATAAATTAATGATAATCCACCCACAATCTTAAATTTAGGGCTAGACACAACAAATTATCTCCTTTCGTATATTGTCGAAAATAATGTTGCATAATTATAGAAATTTGTTATTGGACTTTTCCTACTATACCTTATAGGGTAGTTATGAATGAATGAATAGTTAAGAAAAATTCTTGCGGTTGCAGTCAAATATGGTTGACTAGATTCGGTAAAACTTTGAGTTTGTGTCAATGTTGGTTTATTTTATAAAAAAACTCTTGCTTCAAAAAATGCAAAGCATCTATATATGAATTATGAATGTCATAATAAATCATCGACATATTATAATTTTTTACATTCTCAGAGTCTGCTCTCATATTATGATGTGAATTATAATCACCGATGTAAGGCCAAAAAACATTTTATTATTAATAAATGTCAAATTAAATAAACAACTACATTCAAAATATACACATTTTTAAATTCACGAGTATCTGTTGCTTAGTTGGACAATTGCTCAAAAGTAAAATTGTTCAGAGAACAAAATGTTAGACATGCAACAATTTCGAGAGTTATAAGAGGCTATAACCTTGCATTAAAAACTGGAAGGCCTTATATTTTGGCACAAGATAGAATTGTAATATTTATTCGAAAGCTGGATTACTAGTTAGGGGTCACATACAAGACCAGCCAGAGAATTTAGACCAGTAAAATACGGAAGTGTGCTAAATGCACCCAGTAACAGCTTGAAAGAATATTTACCTAGAAGTTGCAGAGGTCTTACTAGAAGGCATTTTGTGAGAATCCGTGTGATTATAATGGATGGTGAGAAGTATTTCACGCTATTAGATTCTGAAAGGAAAAATAAGGACATATTTTACACGTCTGATATTGAAAATTGCCTAAACCAAAGTTTTAGTCTGGCACGCGACTTCTGAAGCCGTAGTTGAAACACTTGAAATGTTTTCCAGTAATTAATTTCTACTATTTAACATTATAGTCTTTAAGATATTTACATAAAAAATCTGATGTGTCCAACACATGACTTTCCTGTTTAGTTATTTTGTATCACTCCTGTAAATGTAAATGTTTAGAGGATCAACTAAATACATACATTTTCCACGCAATATTTACTCGAAACATTTGTTTATTGAGTGCCGATACTTAAGGGTGTGAATCCTTAGGCAATTTAAAAAAAAAAGTTAATTTCAAACTTTGAAGGCCACGTGTATAGGGGAAGAGACGGCTATTATTATTATTGTCGTAAACCTTTTTCATTACGGTCCATTTTAGAGAAATCATGTATAAAACAAAAATTATAGAAAATAATATCTCAAACAACTTTTAATTAATAAATTTTCTTTTTTTATCGAAATTAACAAAGATATTTCTTAAAGTAAATAAACTACACACGACAAAGTACCCTAAGATGCTTCGACTATATCCAAAATTTAATCAGCTCACCGCAGGATGGATAAACGCTTGAGATTTTTTCTTTGTCCGTTTTTTAATCCGAAAATTGAGCTTTTCCTCAAATATCTCGAATACGGTCCATTTTAGGGAAGAGAAATCATAAACATAACAAGAATTATATAGAATGACATTACAAGCAACTTTTAGCTGAACATTTGTTTTAAAAATTTTGCACATTTTGTCAAATTGTTCGAATACGGGCCATTTTAGGAATAGGTACAAGAGAAAAATAACAAGCAACTTTAATTGGAAGAAATTGCTTCGCCAAGTGTAAATAATAGATACATCCTCGTATTGGTGATAAAAAGAGCCAAGTCTGATTTTTAGGCAAAATGGGATATTTATATCATATAAATAAAACAACTGCGAAAAATACAGTGGTGAAGAGAGATAAGCGATTTTGTAATTATAACCTTAAAATCCCACAAACTAAAAACAACTAAGTGAAAGTACACTTATCTCTTTCAATGGTAAAGCATTTTAAAGTCTTAAAATGAAAGACGTGTTCTCGTTTGTACCCACTTTCATAGTATTTAGTACATATATAATTTAAGATTTAAATCAAAAGTTGTTTTAACCTAAGAGTTACAAACTTATTTACCCATTTTCTAAAATTAATAAGTGGGTGGCTTAGCGCTTTTCTCTATCAATACGACGACATTACATAAAATATAAAGACAACCCCTTATAAACTACACCCCCAGATGTTTCGACTACGTCCAAAATATAATCTTCTTACCACAGAATGGTATAAACGATTAGGTTTGAAATT